AAGCACTATGGGCAGTCTATCTGAAGTGTACCTGGCGTATAAGACGACCCCCCACTTGGAGGCATATTTTTCAGGGCCAAAAAATCATCTTATACGCCGGCAAATACGGTATATGAAGCGCTTCCCTTTCTCTTAAACTTTTAAGAGCATCTTTGTTGCCAAAGGCATGTAGGGAACTTCCATGAATAATGGAGAACTGAAATACTTGATTAACTTTTAGATGCAAGTTTTTGCTGTGGTTATTTTATTTTTGTTTTTAACCTGTCCTCAAGATTATATATATGAACACACAACTCGGTTTTCTCTCAGTTTTCTTAATACCAGATACACATTTAGAGAGACAGCCAACTAATCATTCTATTACCTAAAGCAAAAACTGCCTTATACTGAGCAGGTATCCATGATAAATAAATTGTGTGTGCAAAAGGGCTGGCTAGACCCACACATCTTTTCCCTTCTGTCCTCTGGGATCTAGTTGAGAAACAGGTTGGAACACAAATAGATAATTTTTAAGTTGCTCAGCAAGACCTTTCAAAATTTTTCCTGAGTCTTCTAGTAGTCAACTTGGCAATGTCTACTAAAATTTTGAACGCGCATATATACTCTTTGGCTCAGCAATTACACTTAAGGGATTTATCTTACCAATATACTCATCTATGAGCAAAACACTACCATACAAGGGCACCACTGTAGCAAAAAATGGAAAACAAATATTCATCACTAGAGCAATTCTTACATATATGTACAACAACGTATCTATAAAACAGAATGCTATGGGGCTGTTAGAAAGAATAGGGTAAATTCTAAATGCTGATATAGAACTATCTGTAAGATAAAGTATCCACAAGAACAGCATGCACTGTATACTACCACTAAAAGGAAAAATGTATATGTATACACACACTGGTGCATTATAGAATAGTGCCGGAAAAATACATTTTAAAATAAAATGTTTCTAGAGAGGCAAACTAGGATTTAGAGAACATCAGAGAATTACTTTTTACCTGTATCTTTTGTAGTGTTTAACTTTTTAAAAATATGCTTGTTGCTTTAAAAAAAAAAAAATCTATAAAAAAAATGTTCATCACAAAACCATTATACATACGTCTTTATTGGCCAAAACAATATCCAGTGTTGACTTGGCCACCATGGCAGAATGTTTGCCATTATGTGGATTTATATAGTTGTACAGGTCTTCCATCACATCTGGAAAAACAAATACAACAAAATAAAAATGTCGAAATCACTTAACAGCTAATTCACTCTTCAGGTAGTAGTTTATTTAATACAATGGTTCGCAAACCTTTTTTTCATCCCAACCTACCTCAGAGCCTAGCATAGAAAGTGCTCAATAATCATATACATGTTGAATAAATATATAATAATGTCTCACTTACAAAAAAACAAACAAAAAAAAGTTTCCAGAGTTAGAGTGAGCACAGGCTCTTATAGTTTGAAAAAGGTTCCCATGCGATTGATACCCAACCCCATTGAGAATTACTGGTTGAAAATAAAGACCTAACAGACAAAATTTCAACTTGTAATTCAGAATCTATCATCTCAAGTATTTCATGTCTATAAATGCACATTTGGTAAGCCCTCTCATTTGTTCTTCTTGAAGTTATCATAGTAGTATTTGGCCCTTTGCATTTATGTGCAATAATTACACACACACACACACACACACACACACACAGCCAGTGTTTTGATTGGAATTGAATCTATACATCAATTTAGGGAGAACTGTTATCTTTACAATAAATTTACTAAAGAGGGAAATACAACGTTTGAGGCCCCACATACTAGATCTGGAATCAAGAGCCAAATATTTCTATCTCAGTCTACCATCTGACTTCTTATATACCACTTTTTACACACTAAACAAATTAACCTTCCTTCGCTCACATTTGGAGCTGTAAAATGGCAGTGATGGAATGAAGTGTTTGCTAATGGTACCAAAAGATTAAATGTAACCCCTCTGTTTAACCCAGAACTTGTCAATAAATACTACTCAATTTTCCAACCATACCACCACCAACTACCTAAAGATGGGCTTCAAAGTAAGAGCAAGAATGAGAGAGAGAGAGAGAGAGAGAGAGAGAGAGAGAGAGAGAGAGAGA